CTCCAAGCCTCAGTTTCCTCTTCTGTAAAATGGGGACTGTACTCGCACCGACTCATGGGGCCACTCTGGGAATTACGTAAGGCCATTGACCTAAAGTGGTTCTTATGCTCAAGAAGCAGTGGCTGTTGAGAAAACAAAACACAAGAAAAAAAGAAAAAGAAAACAGTTGTAGTTGTTCCTTTCTCTGAGGTAAATGTGATCTGCAGTCCCCATCCTGTCAGTGAGAAAACTGAGCGTTAGAGAAAGCAAACAAATCGGTGGTCAGTCCGTGCTAGTCATCGTGTTGAACGTGTGTGGTGTGTGCGCCGAAGTGATGCATGACGAGGCGGACGTCTGTGGAAGGTGGCGGTGCGGCCCGGGAAGAAATAGAAGCCCCCAAACATGTCTTCAGAACAGGGGTGGGTCAGTGAAGCCGAAATCTTCAGCCAGACGGAGCAGGGGTGGCTGATGGATGCCCCGGTAGGAGGGGACCTGGGTTGATGTCTGGCAGCTGGCATTGAAATCACCCCATGGAAGGTTCACCCCAAGGTGCCTAAGGGGAGGGGCTCAGAAGGTAGAAGAGGCTAGCCGGTGAAGGACCCCGAGTGGGCACCGTGCTGTGGGCAGTGGGGAGCCAGGCCGAGTGTGCCTCACCCTCAGTGTTAGAGGGCTGTGTCCACAAGGATGAGACTGCAGGCCAGGCCGAAGGCGGGCAGCTCTGTCCCACTGGGCGCCTTGTCTGTGCCTGGGCCTGGGGCCTCGGCACACCCCGGGGGACATTTGAACCTGTCAGGCCGTTGATGCCTCTGTGCCATTCCTGGACTGGGGAGTGAATATTCCCACCAGAGCCCAAGCTCTCAGGGCGGGGAAGGGGCTGGCCGGAGGGGGGTCTTAATGAGGGGTCTTGGGCTGCAGGGGGACCCCACTATAGGCCATCCTGCTGTGGGAAAAGCTGCTTTGACCCAAAAGAGAAGCTGGGGTGGGAGGAAGGCAGAGTGACAAAGGTGCCTTCCTGTGCCCAAGGACACGTCCTGGATGTACCAGCCTGCTCACCTTGTGAGAGCTGCAGTAGTCTCGTTCCGACTGCAGCTTCTCGACACCCCAGATGATTGTGCCCCGGCGGGGGGGTGTTAGCCTGCGGAGAGCAGCTACGGCTGTTCCAGGAAGGCCTGGAACACAGTCCGCCTCCTTCCCCCCCAGGCCCAGTGACCTGCCACCCAGTGAGCAGGAAAGCAGGAGGGAAAGAATGTTCCTGAGGCAGACACTAGAGCTCCACTTGCCCATGTTCCAGCTCCGTGGCCCTGGAGAAGCGCCTCAGAGGTCCAGTCTCTGTAGTGAGCTCCAATGGGTGCCCACCTCCAGGACTGGCTAAGGAGGCGCCACATCTAGAGGGCTTCCTAGCAGAGCGCCTGGAACAGAGGAAAGCTCAGCAACTGATAGCTTTAGGAATGCCCCTTGCCACCCCTCTGTGGGGCACTCTGCTTCTCTGGGTAGTAAGTGCTGGAGCAGACTTTGGCCTCCAGGTTTCCCTCTTTCTAGCCACAGTCATTTAGCAAAACTTCGCCGGGCACCTCCTGGGGCCAGAGCTGGAGACCCCAGGATGAGCCGGAGAAGCTGCAGTCTGAGGATGATAAGCCATTATAGTGTAGTGTAGGTCTGGGACCTTGTCAGTTTAGCTTTGGGGCCTCAGTTTTCTCATCTGTAATGTGGGATAATATTTCCGCCTTGAGGATGAGACCCTAACCCGGCTGGGAGGGTGGGGGGCAGGAAAGACTTCCAGAGGAGGCACCTGAGGGCAGGTGTCAGCTGGGCCGAGGGGGCAGGGTTTCCTGGGCAGAGGACCTGACCTGCGCAAAGGCCTGGGGCTCCCCAGAGGTCTTGCCCAGGAAGCCCAGGGGGTCTCTCTGCCTTTTCAGAAGGATGGACTCTGTTTATGTGTCAGAGGCCACCCCTGCTACCTCCCTTGGGCAGGATATGACCACAGAATGTGGCTTGAATGGTGGAAGCTGGGCAAGATGAATTGTTCCCTCCACATCCTGGGGAAGGGCCACTGGATAGCCCCTGCTGACCCTGGGTCACCCGCGCTGCCTCTGTCCAGTGGGCCAGGGAGAAAATCGTTAACAGGAGGCTGGCTTCTGGGGCAGGGCAGCTCCCCTTGGGGACCCAGGGTAAGGAGATTGGTTTGACCTCTGGTCGATAAGGTCTCCTGTGAGCAGGAGGAGAGTTGGAGGACAGGGAAGGAGGCTGGAGGCCCGCCCTTGGGGGAGGGAACAAGGCCAGGCTACCTCAGGAAGTCATTCTGGGGAGGTCGAGGGCCATGGGCGGGGGGGTCTTCAGGACACGTGCCCACCAGGTGTGAACCTCAGGGGGCACCTCCCTGAGCATCGGGCTATGAGAGGAGGTGGGTCCCAGGTGTCAGACCCTGGCTGTGAATTGGTCACAGGGGCTGGCCATCGAAAAGAGTGAGAGGGAAGGGTGTGCACCCTTGGTGGGCCAGGCGCCAGGCCCCGCACCCCTGGCTGTGTGGCTAGAAGCAACCGACTTAACTTTCCTGAGCCTTGGTTTCTGCATCTGCTGAGTGGAGGTGATGAGCATTCCCAATGTGCGGGGTTGTCTGGAGGGTCAGGGGCAATAGCGTCTTCCCAGACTGAGTGTGTGCGGAGGTGCCCTGTCTGCAGGGATGGGGGTGTGGTCTGCTTCTATTTCCAGAGAGGCTCTGTCTGCAGGACTTCACTGTGAGCCTCTGAAAGGGCCGCCATGTGCTCTCCTAGTTATTGCCTCCTGAGTACTCGCTCTGTGCTGGGCACTGTTCTAAGACTTTCTACATTTCATCTGCGGAGCAGCCTGTGGGGTGGGTGACATTGTCACCCCTCTCATTTTCTAGGGAAGCTGAAGTCCAGAGGGGTTGGTAACTTGCCTAGGGCCCCTTAGCGAGGGAAGGGCACACCCTGGGTTCTGACCCTGGGACCTCCTCCTGATTGTGCTGGTGGGACAAGTGGGGCCCAGCAAAATGGGGCTGGAAGAGGGCCTTTGGAGCCATAACTGGGGCTAATTTTGCCATTGCTTGTTCTGGGACCTTGTCAGTTTAGCTTTGGGGCCTCAGTTTTCTCATCTGTAATGTGGGATAATATTTCCGCCTTGAGGATGATAGTGAAGGATAAATAATGTGGTCCAGCTGGAGTGCCTGTGGGGCCCAGGCTAGCCACAGGGGCCATGTGCAGGTCAGCCTGGGGACAGAGACCCTGGGCTGGGCATGGGATGTAGTAATGAGGAGAACACGGTCCCTGCCCTCGGGAGCTCACGACTGAGAGGTGAGACAGATGCTTGCGCAGCCCTGGTCCCAAGAGCTCTGCAACAGGCTGCGTGGGCCATGCTCTCATGGGAGTGGGGTCCTGCCTGCCCAGCATCCTGTCGGACCTCGTGGGCACACAGAACAAACCAAGAACACTGTCTGGGCTTCAAGAATTGTTCAGCTTTATGGTTAAGATGGGATGGGACAGGCATACATTTAGCAGGGCCTAGGTAAACCTAATTTAATAGTAAATGGAATGACAGGACTCCACATCTTTTCGGTGTTCATTTGTTCATTCATTCATGCGTTCAACAAATGTTTCGAGTTTCTGCTGTGCTACATGCTGTGGATAGAGCAGTAAGCAAGAAGGAGACAGCCCCAGCTTTCATGGTACTGCCAATGTAATGTTGGGGGGAGACAGACAAGAACCAGATAAGTAGATGTTATGTCAGGTTGGTCAGTGTTAGAAGGAAAAAACATAGCATGGTAGGTAGAGAGATGGAGAGTGACGGGGTGGGGACTGCTTCAGAAAAATAGTCAAAGAAGGCCAGTCTCAGGATGTGACACTGAGCAGAGACCCTAATGAAGTAAAGGAGCCAGAATGTAGAAATCTGGGAAAGAACACTGAAGCCAAGGGAAGAGCAAGTGTGAAGGCCCTGAGGCCGGTGTGTGTTTTGTGTTTGGAACGCTCAGTGGCACAATAAGGCAGCCGGTATAAGGGGGGGTGAGGGAGTAGTGAAGGGTGAAGAGGGGGCTCATCCTGAGGACCTTGAGGCTGTGGTCCTCACGTTTGTCTAAACGTGATGGGAAGCCCCAGAGAGTGTGGAGGGGGAGCATTACTCAAGGTGTTTGGGTTTGGTGGAAGCCAGACAACCAGGGGGCAATAGTGGGAACAGAAGGCTGGTGAGGAGGTGGCTTCAAGTTGTCCAGGTGAGAGGTCGTGTTCGGGGAGGGAGACTGGAGAGATGCATGTTGGCATAGCCAGAGACAGCTTCCCGGAGGATGTGGTCAGATGTGAACTAAACCTCTGGGGATATAGGGAGTTTTGGTGGGAGATGCAAAATGAAGTCTTCTCCAAGAGACGCCAGGGGTGTGGGCGAATGCCAGGTGAGGGTGCTTGCTTGTGGAGAGGAGAGCCCCTGGCATCAACTCCTGGGGCACACGTGACAGTGGATTCTGGCCCTTTTCTTCTCCGGGTGACTTGCCAGGCCTTTGTCCTTCCCTGCTGTGCACGCAACCAGCCGTTATATGCCCTCCATCCTTCTCCCATCTTCATACCGACTTTGATCCTTTACTCCCCACTTGCTCACTTTATTCTCACGGCCACCCTGGAACGTAATCAGGGTAGGGGCTCTGCTTGACTGTTTCACCGAGAAGGAGTCTGTGTGCCCAAGGTCACAGGAGAAACCTCCGCTCTGTACTTCTTGCTTTAATTTGGGGCTTTGGTGGAAAGGCAGAGCAAGCTTTGTTGTCCAGTAGACCGAGGCCTGCTTCTTAGCTTTGCCACTTCTTGGCTGAGCCACCTCGGGCAGCATGCCTCACCTCTCTGAGCCTCGGTTGCCTCATCTATGAGATGGGGATGGTAACAGAGCAGGTACGGGTCTGCGCCGGGGCCTGGTCCGGAGCCAGCACGGAGCGGGGCCCTGGCTCTCTGGTGTGAAAGTGACTCCCACGTGCAGGGCACCCGGGACTTCCGAGGTAGATCCCTGATGCCGCTCTCCCTGGCCAGGTGCTGGCGGCCGAGGAGAACGTGGACTTCCGCATCCACGTGGAGAACCAGACGCGGGCTCGGGACGATGTGAGCCGTAAGCAGCTGCGGCTGTACCAGCTCTACAGCCGCACCAGCGGGAAGCACATCCAGGTCCTGGGCCGCAGGATCAGTGCCCGCGGCGAGGACGGGGACAAGTATGGTAGGTGCCAGCCCCCCCCTCCCTCACCGTGTGCCTCCCAGCCCTCGGGTTCACATCCCAGGTCTGCCCTGCCCTGGCTGTGTAACCTTGCTCCTGGCACAGCCTCTCTGGCCCTCCCGCACCTCCTCTGCAAACTGCAGGTGCAGTCGTGTCTCTCGGGAGAGCCTTGGGGGGAGTGCTCACCGCTTTGCCGGGAAAGGTCGTGGGTATCCCTGGCTTCCCTGGGCACGGCCTAAAGCCAGGAGCTGCTCCCCACGGCACTGCTTCGCCAGCCCCGGGTTCGGGTGCTCAGAGAGGTGGGAGCCTCCAGGGAGTGCTTTCTGGATGCTGCTTGCCGTGCGGAAGTCAGCCTGGTGTGAGTGTGGGTGCACATGGGCACACATGGGTGTGAGCACGGGTATGTGCTCTCCTCCACACCTGTGAGGAATGGTGCTCGTAGCGCTTGGGCTATCTCCCCTTTGACCTGCCCTTGACCCTGAAACCGCTCAGCCCTCCTCTGGGGTGTTTGGGAACCATCCCTCACCTGGTGCTGCCTCTGCAAGGGGGCCGGGAGGAACGAGACACCCTGCCTCCCTGCCCACCCCACCCCCCAGCTCATACAGACCCTCAGCAGTGAGAGAAACAGACAGGACTCCACTTTCCCAGAGCCTCGAGAGGATTCTGGGGACCGGTGCTGAGCAAATACTGACCCTGCCCCATGGGTTCTTACCTTCTTTTTTTTTTTAAGATTTTTTAAATTTATTTATTTGAGAGAGAGAGAGAGAGAACGAGCAGGGGAGAGGCAGAGGGAGAAGCAGACTCCCCGCCGAGCAGGGAGCCCGATGTGGGGCTCGATCCCAGGACCCTGGGATCGTGACCTGAGCCGAAGGCAGACACTTAACCGACTGAGCCACCCAGGCGGCCCTGGACCTTGCCTTCTTAAGCCAGGTTCTGGGAGGTGTCCCAGGGTCCCCCCCCCACACACACCTTGGGCAGGGGAGCTGGGGCTGCGGGTGGCCAAGGCGCGGGGCTGGGGCTGGGGCTGGGGCCCCGGGTATGCACTGTGGGCCTGCCAGCCTGGGCTGTTCTGGGATGATGCCCCGCTTGCCCGCCGGCCCCTTCTCGTTGCAGTCAAGACATGACAAGAAGACAAATAATTTCTTGGACCTTTTATCTTGGACCCCATTCATTTTCCCTCCGCCCCGGGGCAGGACTGACCTCATGGTAGGGCCCAAGTGTGGCAGCTGCGCCGTCACTGGGGGCTGGGGTGGGCCGGGCCGGGCAGGGCTGCGTCGGGCTGGGCTCCCCGACTCCAGGCCAGCTGCCTCCCTTCTTCCTGTGCCATCACTCTTTACAGGCTCCATTCTCCTCCCTCCCTCTCTCTTTCCCCTGCTTCCCCTCTCAGTCTTGCCACTCCTGCTTTTCTCTCGACCCCTCTCTCTCAGTCCTTCTCCCCTCCTTCCTGTGCTCACCCCTTCCCCTCTGTGTCTGTCCATCCCTCTGTCTGTCTCCCCCCCTCCCCACCATAGCTGTCCTCCCTGCCTCCCTCCCTTGGATCACAGCTTTCCAGTCCCTCCTCCCCATGTCTCCCAGGTCCTCGGGCTGCCTCTGGGGGTGGGGGGGGCCTCTGTCTCTTCGGGCCACCCGCTGTGCTGGGCGGACCCAGGTGGCGCTTTTCCCTGGGATCTGCTGTCCAGTTGCTGCCAGGGAAGGGGCAGCTGGCTGGCCGGGGCCGGGAGGGAGGTGCCCTCCTGGGGAGTCCCCGGAGCTCTTGCTGGCCCCTCCAGGCCTGGTCTGAACCATCTGTCCACGCCCCGAGACAGGAGGTAGGAGCTCAGGAGGGAGAGGAGCCCAAAAAAGGCCACCCCCTCTGTTCGGAAGTCACTTGCCTCTCATTTCCTCTGCCTGAGCCAGACAGAGACTCAGGGGATCACACTTGCTGTGTGACATCAGACAGGCCCTTTGCCTCCTCTGGGCCTCAGTTTCCCATCTGTACAATACAAGGGTTGCATACTAGAGCAGTGCTTCCTAAACATTAACATGCCTGGGAATCACCAAGGGATCTTGTTAAATGTTGATGTTGATTTGATGGGTCTGGGGTGGGGCCTGAGCTCCGCATTTCTAACGCGCGCCCAGATGGTGCGGATGGGCCACACCTCGTGTATCCCGGAACTAGCTCATTTTGGCTTCTCGAGCCCCACAGGCCCCAGATTGAATCTTTCTCTCTCAAGGAATATGTTTATCACTTCTCCAAGCCCCCGCCAGGGCAGCGTGGGGCTTTGCTGGCTGCTGAGGCTGCTTCATTTAAGTGTCGCATTAGAAACGCAGATGAGGCAAAGGGACCCCATCTGTGAGCCCCGGGAGAGGAAGTGAGACAATGGAGCCAATTGAGGCTTCCAATCTAGATAATCAATACAAATATTATTGGGAGGGTGATTTATGTGGCCAAGCCAGCCTGGAGGATGGGGCTGCGGTAGGGGCCTGCCCTGCCTGTGGGGGATGGGCAGCCAGTAGTCTCCAGTCAGGCCAGGCGCCCCACCCCAGGCAGTGGACAGTCCCTCCTTCTCAGGACTCTGTGCAGCTGAAAGAATGATGCAGTCTGAGACTTGCATTCATATGCAGCTATAATGCAGTCTGGGAACCTCAGCAAACACCAAGTATAAACAGGGGCCCCAGAAACACCTGGAATCTGGAATCCCGACAGACACTCGGATTCTCAGATTCAATGGCATCCTGAGGTGTTAGACTCAGGGCAGGCACAAGGCACGGGCCCACTTTAGTCGGGGGCTGGCCCAGGAGCTCTTGGCCTGCTTTACATCTTTACATCCGGGAGCAGTCTTTGGTGAGATCTGAATAGATGTAAATCACACCCTGCTCTTCTGCAAGAGGATCTCCCCAGGGCTCCCCAAAGCTTTCCCCCCAAGCACTCTAAGGTGCCTGAAGGTGGGCCAGGTGCTGGAGGGACAAGCGTGCTAGTCAGGAAGCTGAGGGTTTCGGGAAGGGGACAGCTGATGAGCCGGGTAGGGCCACCCTGCCCACCTAGGATGCTTACATCTGGCCCTCCTGCCCTTGGCCCTGGCCACCTGTGTCGTGTAGGCAGTGGCTCTGTTGCAAAAACAGCACCAGGAGGCAGGACACCTCGTTTTTTGTTGCCGCTCTGCCACTGAGCAGCCTGCGGAGCTTGGGGCAAGCGTGTCTGGCTCTGGACTTAGTTTCTTCCTCTGCCAAGTGAGGATGAGAAAGGCCCACTTGACTTGCCTCTGAGATTGATGCATTTGAGCCCGGGGTGTGGAGGCATTAGGTCCTCCTGGCTGCAAGGGGCCGGGCTGCCAGTGACAGAGGTGGAGTTTTAGAGGAGGAGGCTGGGTTGGGGGGCGGGGCACAAACTGAGTTTGCCTTCAGGGAGTGGGGAGGGACCCCGGTGGTGGGAATGGCGGTGTGGGGGCAACTCTGCTTTTATAAGCAGTGTGACTGGATATTCTTTCCTGTTTTCATTTGAAAAAAGGGTTTTCTACTTCAGAAAATAAAAAGATAAGAAAGCCCCCAAACTCAGTGTTTTGTAGTAGGCCAGCCTCCCAGGACTGTGCCCAGAATTGCCCCCAGGCAGGCCACTGGAGGGGCTGTGTCAGCCAGGAAGTTGATCTTTTGAGGGGATGAGAATGTAGACTCCGAATTCGACAAGATTTGAACCCAGCTCCATCACTTGCGGGCTAGAGATCTCGGATCTGAGTTAGCCTTTCTGATCCTCTTTGCTCTTCTGTGAAATGGGGTAATGGAAATGAGAGCATCTCTTATGCTCACAGATTGTATGATTATTAAAGCAAAAAATTATGAATACTAACTACTTGAACTCACTGCTGTTGTATGGGTGTGGGGGGGGTACTCGCATGGGCTCTGGTAGAGGTTCCCCTCTCAGGAACTGATTCCTGGGGCTCCCAGAAGGGGCCAGGTCTCTCTCGCATCCGTGGGGCCCTGGTATGTCAGCTGCAGGCCTAAGAGCCTTCTTCGCCATGATTCCAAGCAGCAGGTCGGCCTGCTCTGGCTCCTGTTGGGCCCGAGGAGGCAGGGTCTTTGGACCTTCTTGCTGGGTGTAGTCTGATCTTTTCTCAGTTTGAGCTGGGGTCCCTAACTCACTCGGCACAGAATTATTGAGCCCTGGGGATACAGTGGTGAGACACACTTGGTCCTAGCCCTCACGCTGCTCCCAGGCCAGAGACCCTGCTCCATCTCAGGGGCTGACTCTGAGTAGGAAGAATCTAGTTCTCTAACTTCCAGTGTGACCTGGGGTCCTTCCCATTCCCTCCCTGAGCCTGGGCTTCCTCACCATTCATGGGGGGCTGGGTGAGGGGTGTGGATTTAGCACTCCGCTGGCTTCCTCGAGAGCTCAGGCATGGATTCGTCTGTGATTCCAGCTGTGGTACTGCTGTGTGGGGTCAGGAGGAGTCAGCCCATCCCAGCATGGGCCTGCACCTTCCTGCTCAGCCTTGCCCTCCTGAAAACATGAGCTCCTTGAAAGTAGTGGCCCTTTTGCATGTCCCCATGTCCAGTACAAGGCTTGGCAGAAAGCAGGTCTGCACTTAAATGTTGCTGGGTAAATGAATAAAATAATTATGGGGTAACTCCAAGCATGATCTGGGACTGACTTGTGTGGCTCACGCAGGAAGGTGTGTGGGGCATTCCAGACCTTTTGCTGAGCAGATGACAAGAGTGAGGGGAGTCCTCTGGTCCCATTTCCCTCATCCTGGTACCTGCTGGAGGGCTGTGTTTGAATAAGGAGCAAGGGCTGGTGTGGCTGATGCTGCAGAGACCCCCTACTCTCTGAGTCAAATGCCCATAGTCCATATGGCAGTCTAAAATGTGAGACTGTGTCACTTCACTCTCAAAGGCGCTTGTCTCTCGGAGAATTAAATCCCAATTCTTGGATCAGCCCAGAATGGCCTGGCTCTTGATTACCGCTCCAGGCTCGCCTCACTGCCTCTTCCTTGCCCACTCGGCTCGAGCCCCACCCACCAGCCAACAGG